ACAATAACTTCCCCGGTTATGCTGGCCACACTATTGCTGATACAAGCCAGGATGCCATTGGCCTTCTTGGCCACTGGGCACACGCTGGCTCATGTTCAGCTGGCTGTCAATCAATGTCCTTTTCTGACAGGCAGCTTTCCAGTCACTCTGTCCCCAGCCTGTAGCGCTGCATGGGGTTGTTGTGACCCAAGTACAGGACCCAGCACTTGGCACTGTTGAACCTCATAGAATTGGCCTTGAACCATTGATTCAGCCTGTCCAGATCCCTCCTACCCTCTAGCAGATCAGCACTCCCACCCAACCTGGCATTGTCTGCAAAGTTATGGACCCAGCCAACAGTGCACCTGCCTAAGCTATGAGCAGCCAGTTTCCCCAGGAGAATATTGTAGGAGACAGTGTCAAAAGCTTTATTAAAGTCCAGATAGACGCATCCACAGCCTTTCCCTTATCTCTGTACCTGGTGCATGATGGCACTCAAGATGATCTGCTCAATGACCTTCCCCAGCATCAAGGTCAGGCTGATAGGCCTGAAGTTCCCCAAATCCTCCTTCCAACCCTTCTTGTGGATGGGCATCACATTTGCTAAACTCCAGTCTTCAGGGACCTCCCTGGTTAGCCAAGACTGCTCATAAATGATTGAAAGGGGCTTGGTGTGGCAGGAAGAATGTGACAAGGAATCATGGGAGTAGTAGTTTTCTGGGTTCTCACGCATGCTCATTTAATACTTGATTGTCATTGGTTGAAAGATCATGCGACATGTTTAAGCGCTGTATTTAAACCTAAGTGTTTTGAAATAAACTTCAGTTCTGCTTTGGCATTCATGTCTGAGTGCGGTTCGTGCCTTAAACAACACCTTATATGGCTGCCCGCATCGGGACAACAGCAGGTTACCGGGAACCAGGAGCAGCAAGCTCTGGGGAACCTGTCCAGAGGTGTCCATCTCGCCAGGATTAAAAAGGAAAAAAGGAAGAATACAGCACGCTGGATTACCTCTGCAAAAGGGACAAAAAAGGAAGAAAAAAGGACCGGAAGAAAGGACAACAGAGCTCCAGCACACAGAGGTAACCAAAAACTGGCGAAATGGGAGGGAGGAATTCCCATAAGAGGACGTTTTCCTCAGAAATTAAAAAGACAGCTGAAGCTATAACTCATTTTTTAAAAGAACAGAACAGAAATATAGAAAGAAATAGACTTTGGGACTTAATGTATTGGATTTCTATAAATGAACCAGCTTTACCTTTAACTTATATTCACTGTGATAAACTGAGAGAATGATTCGAGCTAATTAAGAGAAAACAGTG